TTCAGATAGGGGTTGCAGAGATTAACAGTAAACAACGTTTTTCAAAATATAAAGGCTTGTATCAGTTTCTTGTAAGTTTGATGGATTTGTGTAATTCTTCCGCTACGTTTAGCCGGCTCATGAATACAATTTTAAGGAGTTAATAGGGCTGTTGTCTTTGCTCTTGATCATTAGATGAGAAGATTTTGATGCGCTACTGATAATTTGAGAGCCGTAATTCAATGCTTAATTTTAAACTGAAATCGAGTAAATGGTTGTTTTTTCCAAACAGATGTAAAATTTTGGGAAAAATGTCTCGATAACGGCATAACTCATGAAAAGATTCAATCCGTTCAAACACAACATACACCATTTACTCTCACAGAAATACGTAGCTTTTAAGTCTTCGAAAGGATATTTCCGCCGTGTAATACCGGATTTCTCAACAATAATTATTGCCCTTCTTTGGACTCGTTTGGCATTTTGCACAAAATAATAAATCATAAATTTATGATGAGAAATGTGAAATATTGTTTTGACTTTAAAATTGCTTAACAACTGCTCCGACACTATAATTTCTAAACAAAGGTCGTTCCAATCCCACATTAATATTTTATTGTTAAAAAGAAATAGTTTACATACAGATAAATCATCTACCTTGCAACCACATTAGCCAACAAGGAAAATAATAGTTTAAACACGACTTCAAACTGGCTGAGTTATTGATTAAATTGTCATTTAGCATAAATGCTAGAGTTTTGTCTAAATATTGGTGTTCTATTAAATATGATGTTACAATATGATGAAAAACATTTAAAAGTCAGAGATTAAAAACAAAACCGAAAGAAACAAAAGTTTGTTAAGACAAAGATAAATGTTTAGAGATTCATAACAATCTTGTTTAACATTTGGATTATCAATTATGATAAAAGATGGAACTTTATTTTTCAACGATATTAATTACATTGTACAAGCTCATTTTGGGAGAAACAAAACTGAAAATCTTAAAAACTACGCTTTCATCTATATTTAAGTACACAAGAAATTCATCACTTTTCAATCACATGTACAGATTTGCAAAGAAATGTGTAATACTACATGTATTTGGGGAATTTAAGACATATATAGAGACTTTCGTACAGTTTTGTTGAATGTGGAACTCGCTTTGCTGCGTTGTCTAGAAGTCATTATTTCCTGGAAGGTAAATACCAGGAGTCATAACAGTTGTGCTGTTTATTTTAATTAGTTTTACTATTTTCTGGTCCATCTTTTGTATTCAAATGTGTCGGCTCTTACCGGAATATTTGGATATGAATATAGCTAGGTAATAACTGGAAAAAATAAATGCCCCAAACAGGAATATTCTGTTTAACAAAATGCAAGAATTAAAGGGAAGAGTTGTGTACAAATCAATAACTTGTTTTAGCATCATGTGAAAATGAATTTCCATCTGCATAATTTCTCTCGACCCCACCACCGAGAAAATACAATGGTCGTCATCAAGTCAGTGTTCAGATCTGAAAACATGTTAAATTGGAATAACAATGTTTGGAAGATTTTGATAACAAAACAATGTTTCTTAAAGGAGTACATCCTCTTTATTTACACTGCATTTTTGATATAAAGCTCATGATCTTTTTATATTAATTGTTGTTTATTTTGGTACCTAATAAATATCATCATTTACGAATTTTCTCATTTAATTTTTATATTTCCCAAAATTCTGAAATTGTTCTGGTTCAAATTAATGTCCGTTTACATTTTATTGATAATTTTATTAAACAAACTGGTTCATGTAAATCATCTTGGTTCAGATTCCATTCTTTATATACCTCACAAAAAATGCATAATACTTCAAAATCCAAATATGTAGGCAAGTAAGATGCATGTGCAGTGAGTCATTAATACACAATATATAGGTTTGCTTGGACAAAAATCCCTAGTGTTACTATAATGATTAAAACTTGGGTTTGCTTTTCATTGGTAATATAAATAACTCATAAGCAAAGCAAAATTTAAGGCATATTAATTATCTTACCCCTAAATATATATATATAAAAAAAGGAAGTCGGGCATAACGTTCTCTGACAATTTCTTACATTTAACTTATAACTTTGACGACAGACCTTTATTCTTTAACTCGAAAATGAATAACTTCATCTATTAAACCTTCGCTTGTAGTCTTCACTATCTGAAAATTTCAAATCTGTCCATTTGTAAAATATTTTAATATATTTTGTATAGACCTAGAGAAAATCGCTTTAACAACCAACAAAGACAATACGTTCAGTAATATGTAGGCATGAAAACATATTGAATATCGTGCAAATAGATAGAAAAAACATAGTTTTACGGTTTTTGAAATACTACTTACAATTTGTGGTGGTAATGATACAATGTGATTAACATTAATTATTGTAAGAGCTATCATTACAGCAGGTCTTTTATTTACAATGGCTACTTTATTTTCTTAATCAAAACAAACAATACATGAAATCAAGAATGAGATTTTTGTTCATAATTTATGCATGTAAATCGTTGGAATAATGGGTAGAAAGTGAAGTAGGATTTCACTTGCTCTTTCACTTTCAGATATATTGATGATGTCCTGTCACTCAATAACCAACATTGCAGTGAGTGCTTCTTGTATATGTAAGGGAACTTAAAAGAGAGGCGAAAGATACCAATGTAATATTCAAACTCATAAGATGAAAACGAACTGACAATGCCATGGCAAAAACCAAAACGTTACGAAAAGACAAACAACAGTCCACAAACCACAACAATGAAGAAAAAACGACTGATCAATACGAACCCCACCAAAAACCGAGGGTGATCTTAAGTGCTCAGAAGGATAGAAAGATACTACTCCACGTGTGGCATTCTTCATATTGCTCATGTAAGTACAAACCCGGTATTATTTGGTAGGTCACATTCGAGAGATGATTTTATCACAAAACTCTTGGTTTAATAGCGTCTCTGTAAACAGCAACCCTCTTTCAAGGAAATCATGATAATAAATAAAATCAGATAGGCCATGCAAGCTCTGGTATCTCGTATCAAAAACTCATCATAGATACCAGGGTTAAAATTTTATACGCCAGATGCGCGTTTCGTCTTCAAAAGGCTTATCATCAGTGACGCTTGAATCAAAAAATTTATAAGGCCAAATAAAGTATGAAGTTGAAGAGCATCAACTGGGATATACATACTCCATATACAGGCGCTGCTGGAATGTTGCTACATAAAAATGAAATTTTCAGCATTGGGAAACTGAAATGTTTTACTATATACGGTATATTTTATCAACGACAAAACTACTGGGTCCCAATTATAGTCGCATCAATCTTTTATGTCTGTTTTGGTTGTTCACCCAATGTTATCAATATAACGAAACTATAAACAACTGTCATACATTGATTGATTGACGCCACTTTCAACACTATTGTGCTTTTTCGTTTTATTTGAAGAGGAAGCCGGAGAGCCCGGAGAGAAACATAGACCTTCAGTAGAAAAACTGACAATCCTAGTCAATTAAGATTAGAGTCGAGTGCACCTGCCCCGTACGGGATTCGAACTCACAACCTCAGTGTTGACTGGCTAGTGATACAGTAGTTCGACTATTTAGACTACTCGGCCACCGAGGCCCCTCAACTGTCATACAAGTGAGAGGTTTAGCTAGCTATAAAACCAGGTTTTCTGAAAATGCATGCATCAAATCAGAAATGTGGCACGTGTTTTTCACTTGTTCCGTTGATTGATAGCGTTTGATTTTGTCAATTTTTGTGGACTTCCCCTTTTTTAATTTCCCTTGCTCTTGAATGCAGTAATTCAGATAAAGCATACTATCGAAAGGGTCTGCTCATGACACAAAAACAGTTATGAGGGAAAACGACCGAAATCGACATTACATAAATGTTATGGTCACCATCTTGAATTGGTTGACCGATACGAAATGTCTTATTCCCGATATTGATATTTTGATTAAGTGTGGATTAGCATGGCTGGTAATGCAAACATAACAGGAGAAACTTACTTTGTCGACACATCCTGTCGCGTTCCATTAGGAGTTCCATCAGTTGTTTTTGTTTTTACCTTGACTCGTATATTCGTAATGTATTAATGAGATATGAGCATTGGTAAATAACTGTTGTCTCTATTTTAAATACATCGAACAATACTATGTTGCCTGCTACCATCACAAAATTTTGGCTACTTCTGCTTTCTAACATGTTTTTAAATTTCAAACTATTCAAGAACATACTACATTGTGTTTATATTAAAATACGAATTCGGTGTCCCAAAACATTTTGTATGAACATAATATTGTCAAATAAATAAGACAAGCTTTTCAGAAATGACATTTTTAAGTCATCTTATTGGTCTTTTTGACGAAATATCTGTGTCTTCGTTTTTTTTTTACTTATGCATTCCAGCTATTTAAAATATCATGGGAAGGCAAGTGATGTATACTATTTTTTCGATATTGAAATGCAGCACAGCATTCGAATTAAGGTTTCAAACATAATATCACCAAACACTTAGATGATCGTATTGCGTTCTTCTTGCCTTAAGGACACGTGACTATGGGGAATGAAATCATTGTTTGTCTTGACGGAAACAATATTAAACACAACCCAACAATATTATATCACCTTGATGAATAAGTTAATTCTAATCAATGGACAAATAATTTTCATTGGAAGAAAGATACATTAACGAGTTTTATTCGTTTTATAAACAAATACTATTCACGAGTTTAACCATTGTGACAATTAAAGTCTTTGTATCGTTTATTGAAGTAAAATTCAAAATTCAAGAAAACCACTAATGTAATCGATTTTTTTATCATCAACCGTACCTAAATGGTATTATTTTATAATATAGAAGTGGTCAATATTAGAAACAGTTATCAGAGAAAGCAGCTAACTCAAATCAATTTCAATAGTATGAATAATTTTTGCATTGAAGATATTGAATTATAAAAGGACTAATATTTACTGATACGAACTAATTTAAATTTTAATATGTGAATGGATAACGAGCAAACAGATAGTGTCTTCAAACAGGTAAGCGTTTTCCTAGACTACTTTGTATTTATAATTTTAGATCATTTTTATTACAGCTTTTATTATTTCACTTTTATTAGAAGCATAGAGATATGGTTTTTTTTAAGACAAACTGCAAGTAGTTAAATTTATAATTTAATGAAGCATTTGTCTATAAAGCAAAATTGTTGCTGAAAAAATTCCTTAAATACATGTTGATGGATATATATAGTGAACGTCGCTATATATAATAATTTTAATTTGCATCGAATTCACAAGATATTAATATAAAGCAGTTAATATCGCGAGGAAAGGAAAATACTTTGCATATTTGATATAGAGTATACATCAATTATACATTGTATGTCGAGTAAGAGTAAAAAAACTGCTTAGTTATTTAGATATCTGTTTTTTTCTATTTTAGATAAGAAAAAATTAAGTATTACAGTAATGATTAAAAATATTTGATAGGGGATAAAAAATTAAGAAGATCAGAACAATCGTACACCGATGCTTTATTTTGATACATATTATACATATACCATATACCATGTATGGCTGAAACCATGTATTTTTAACTAATAATCGCCTTTAACATGTATGATTTGCTATTTTTCTTGTTATTTTTAATGTAATGTTACTTCAATGTTATTTGTAAATGCCCATTTGTAGCAACCAAATATTTACCATCTGCCCTTAAATTACGAATTAAGAGATGCGTATGTTTGTTTCGTCCTGCTGAATGTGGTTCATTCGAAGAATTTTCGAATGAATGCATGATAAAAATGCTCTTAAAGAAGACGTTTTAATTAGAGAGCGAAATTGAAATACTAAACGTTACAGGTACCAGAATTAGGCTTGTTTGAAGAAGTAAGTTACAGAGCATATTGATTATAGAATTGTTTGGAATATAGTCCTAATAGCAATCGAAATTAACGAACAAACTAATTTAAATGATTCATCATCTACCTTAAGTTAGCTGACCGTTATTCTAAATGCCATGATATATTGAATATTGACTTCAAATAACTGGAGACAGGATACGTTAATATCAAGCTATCTGGCGGGGGGTACTTCTAATGTGTCTATGGGAGAGCTGCAATTACTTATAAATAGAGGATGGCATTGAAAGATACGATCGGCTTACTCTCGGATACTTCCCAGCTAACCCTCAGATATTTGGGGTAACCTATGGAAACCTTAGTTTGGGTAAGCTCATAAACAATATTCCTGTCCCACTTTTTCATGATCAACTTCAATAAAAAGACACACTGAACTTAAAGGATCAATTATGTAGAGAGAAATTTTAGTTTGTTTTTAATTTATTTCGCAGAGAATAATATCAGGAGTTTGGAGCCTACTGCTGCAGAGAGCAAATCTAAAAATGAAAGTAGAAAAATGGAAATTAAAAATAACTCATTAATGTTTTGCTATTCATCTACGTCGTAGATTCCCCAACATTGCATTCGATATTTGTACAACTTACCCGTCCATAATACAGATATTGTAGATATTGAAGGTAGACTAGAAAAAAGAAAAATAAGTTTGACTTTTTTTCCGTGTGGATAGATGATCATAAAAAATATTCCAATTCATTTATGCAAGCGGGAAGATTTCATGAATGTTTTTAGTGAAACATTTTATAATTAATTAAGTGTTTCCATTTGTGGTAAAAACTGCCTGAGGAGAACATGGCAGAACTAAAAATTAAGAATCCTTCCAATTGTAGTGAAATATAAGCTGGATTAAGAATCAAATTAACAACAAAGTATATAATGATGATTAAATAAATAATAGAATGTAATGAATATGACGGCTTGTCATATAGATGCTAGTTCTAGAAGGAGAATTCATATTAATGAAGGTGAAAAACGTATACATTTTTCAACAATGTACAAATTTAAATATAAAAAATGGGATTAAAGGTGTTAAAACTGAAAAGACCTTCCCAATCAATCACGTTTAAGAGACTGATTTTTTATTCTTGATGATTAATACAAGTTGTCTACCTCTAGGGTCGTTGACAGTATAATTTTAACTACGAACGATAATTAGGATAAAAATATTATTATTCTGAATGAATGTAAAATTCGTATCTATTTTCGTCAATGCTCTTTCGCAGTAATAATAAGACTGGTATAACTCTTGTTTTAAGAATCCTGGAAAGAATAAATGAATATCATTTAAATAACCTCAAACTTTAAATACCCCCTTCTCTGTCTGCTCGTTGAATTGAAATGCATGCTGCATTGTAATGTCAATTATGTATTGAATATATTGATTGTTTATAACAGCAATAGATTTATTCAATGGCATATCTTTGGTAGTTTCTATAAAATGTATTCCAACATTGTGTGGATTTCAGGCGGTTAGGAACATATTGTTGATTTCTAATTGCCTTTGCTTTTCTTTTGTGTAATTGTCTCATAGGGGTTTACATAAAACAGACTTTTATTCATTGACAACTTTCATAGTGTAATGTAAAAAAAAACTCAGATTTTTTTTATCCCTCAGAGGTACTAAAAATATTGGTAAAAACAATTAATAATGCTCTCTTGCGTCTATTTGTGTACATAAGTAAGCTCCCAATCAGGCAATGGTCCTCTCGAACAGAAAGTTTCCCATTTATATAAATTCCCCATTTCTTTTTAAACCAGTTCTTGTATTCTAATGAAACTTTCCGTGAACAGCCATTATTTGACATTTGTAGGTTGCTTTAATAATTTGGAGACCAAATAACAACAAATTGAGTTTAACTTTCACAAAATCATAATAGTCAGCCTAAGTATAACTCATTTTTCATTTCCTCAATAAAATATGATTGTTGGTTTGGTTTGGAAAATCATTAAATTTCTAATTCAATATAAAGGAACAATATTCCCTTATCTGTAACCTATTAACTTAAAAAAAACGGTTTTCGTTGACTGTTGCATAAAGATAATGCACCTCTTAATTTTTATTTACCTCATCGAAACAATTTCGTGAGATGTTTGAATAGGACTATTAACACTCTTGCAACATCTATCTGCAAAGATTCCAAATGTTCTTCAACACCTTTCCTACCTTGATGATAACTATGTTGTCGTCCCTGCATTCAACGTCTCTAACAAAATTGTTTGATAAAGGAATAAGGTATCGAAAATTCACTTGGAAACGAAACCCACAATGTATTCCAACTTTACTTACTGAAGAGGAAATTCAGACAAATCATAGGTTTATTCCATGTTCCTCTGGAATTTAATCAAAGACGAAGAACTGGCGTCATTACAACACACTCTGTATTGCTGATTCTGCCAAATGATCCACGAACTTTTTCCACATTATTAACAATTATTTCATCAGCAATCGACCTGGGCAGCAGAGCTACTTACTCTAGGGACAATTGGAATCAGGCATGGATACTACAAAATTCAAAATCTCGATTAAAGTACATACAATCTAAACCTCGGTCCTCCTGTAATACTATAAAACAAAATGACATATCTACCCTTAACACTAGTATTCCGAACTATAAACTTAAAGACCTATTGAAAAAATAAGTTCAACTTTGTTTCCTAAAAAGAAAGACCAACGTAGAAACAAATGTCTTGTTTAAGAAAGGAATAAGTCATTCTTTGTGAAACAAAACAAAACAGATTTTTTTCTTAATCTAATATCAAGATGTTTGGTGGACGCATTTTTCAATAGACAATCGACATGCCTGTTGGAACCAAATGTATTCCTTTTCCTGTCGACTTAAACTATTATTGTTACTAGGCAGACTTTATACAAGAGCTTCTAAGGAAGAATAAAAAGAACTAGCATATCCTTTAACTTCATGTTCCACTTAATAGATGATGTTCTCTTACTAACTAATAACGGTTTGTGACTATAAGTTAAAAGCATATATCCCATCGGCATGAAATAAAAGAAACCACGTATACATTTAAGTATGCCTCATATCTTGACAGACAATAAGAGTCGGTAAATAACTAACCAGAGCCAGTGGTTTCTTATGGTAAAGTTGAAGTCATCCGTTTCAAATTGTATGGACAATATTATGATTAGGTTGATCGTTCTTGTATATTTGTATTCCAGATATGATCACAAATATGTTCATTGTGGCGGTCATAAGCTCGTTCAAGCTTCGATAGTTAGTTCGAATAATAAGACTAAAAAACAAATTTCTTCTTCTATGAGCTACAATAGACGGATGCTACAAGTGGCCTTGTCACGTCGATCAGCTTATGGAGCACCTAAGATCGACCGTAGTTATTCAGTGGGTTTTTTCTTGCTTATTCTTTAGTTTCAGACGTATTGCTTTATACTTTTTTCTCGTCGTTTATCGTTATTCCACGGTGTCGATTTTTCTTAAACATATATCATGATTGTTCTTTTGGAATCTTCTGAACTTTTTTTATTACAAGTAATCGAGTTGCACACTTTTTACTTATGGTTTGAATTATTAAATTGTATTTGAAAAATGTTTAATTTATCATGCATATAGTTTTTTTCATCAATTCTATTTTGAATTATAACTATTTAGCAGACGCAAATTGAGCTGCACAGTTTGTAAATAGAACCACGGTAGTACTATTTCAGTATAACTGATAAATCGTATATATATATATATATAAACAAGTCTAAATTGAAAACAACGTTCAAACCTATGATTGCGTTGGATAAAAACCGCAATTTTTATACGTGTGCATGCAAAACAATTTTTTTGGTAGAGGGGTCTAAATACAGCACAAACAACATTTTCCAAAAGACCAAAAAAGTGAAAAAGTATATTTTAACAAAACGCATTTGACTAGCAGATCGAACAACGGATGTTCTTAAACCCTGCTGACTGCCATTGACGATTGCCAAATAAACGGATCACCAGATGTAACAAAATGGATCTTACAATAATTTATTACCAAATAGAAAACAATAAACTTGCGGAAAAGATGGTATATCGCAAACATGAGGTGCAAAAATTTGTACACCATATCCGGATTTCGACAATTTATGTCTCTTCAGTGCTGTTAGGAATCGAA